TTTTTTCTTCACTCGAGCGGTGTGTTGCTTTGTAAATCTTGTGGAAATCGTAATAATAATTTTTGTCTTAATATTCCTTGTCTACCCACGATATAAAAGCATACTCTAGACCCAATAACTTGTCTGTTTTGTTGCCAAATTCAAGATAAATGTAGCTTAGACTACTTAACAATTCAGAAACACTCCATATCAATGTTAGTTAATGTTTAGCTGAGAAGTTAAATGAGCTAAGGATACCAACAAAATAGATTTAAATATTTCCATAATCAAACGAGTAACTTCGCTCGGTTTAATCTCCAAAGAAAATAATCAGTTTGCATAGCCCGAACCAATTGAAAGTGTAAAATCTGGGTTATTGTTGTATAATATCATTTTTAAATGCAAAACTGAATACAATTGTCATACACAAACAAGCACTCGCTTATTATTATTGTCAAGGCAACGCTTGCCTTTAATATTGAATTATACACTTGATGTAAATAATAAAGTTGTCTATATGTTTTACAGCCCATTGAACGGCAAGATAAGTTGTGTGAAACAATTGAAATCGAAGCACGTGTCACATCGATGCATTGAGACATGTTTATAGACGCATATCTAGTGTGGGCCGGGCATGCTGGGCCGATGAAGCCAGCTGGATTGATGTTGGGAATTAATGTGGCTTTAGATAACTGCTTGGGCACGTCGTTTGTCATGTGGCCGAATGGCAGTGCTTGTGGTCGAGAGTACTGTAAATCCGTTTCGGGCTCCGGCCATGTTGTGGGGCAATTTAAACTCAATTTACCCATAAAGAAACTGAATCCATGAAACTTGCTCGCTCGCTCGCTTCGCATTGGCAATTCAAAGGCCCATCCATGCGGCATTTATATTGCACTTTGCCAAACTGAATGACCTGGCTTTAAGGTCTGTGCACACATATACATATATATACATATATATGTATATGTATGAACGTTAGTTGGACACGTGTTCGTGTGGCTTTTTGTTGCAATGACTGTGAATGCGCTCGAAGCGCTCTACAATATTTACATCTACTGCGCGCTGGGCGTTGCCAGAGTGGGCGTGGCTAAGCTAACTGCATTCACACATTTGGCGTGCTCTATGAGCAATGCTAATGCATTTGCCCGCCAGCCCATGACAGCGCCCGTAACGCTTGCTTATATGTAGCTCCGCTCTTGGCATAGCCAATCCATGTAGAAACCCATTCAGTTGTTTCTGGTTACGCCGCACGCACTGGCAGGAAGCTAGGGACACATTGAATGGCTGCGGCTAAGCGACAACAGTTTGTCATTTTAATTGCGCATAAAACACCTCGTGGCACACACACACGCACACACACTTATAGAGAGACGCTCACACAGACACAATAGTTGGCTGGCGGCATCTGCATTAGCTGACCTAAAAACTGTGCTGACTATTTGTACATACTCTGCTTTAATATTCCACACGTGCAGCACACTCTCTCTACACACACACACGCACACACACACACATCAGTTACCAAAGCAAAGTTCAAGTGGTTTTTGTGTCATCAGACAAATGGGACGAGCGACAGGCTGGATTGACTTTAAGTTCCAGTTCCAGTTAGAGTCAGGCACACATACACACACACACACATGCAGCCACACACACACATAGTCACTTAGTGTTACCACAGAATGTGGCACACCCAACCGAGACAATTTACAGAATCAACATGGGCTAATTAATTACAGCTGTTGTGTAAACAGCATCTGGGAGGCCGCCTCAATGGAGGCGGGTCCAGCAAGCGTGGCTTTTTTTCTTTTATTTTCTGCCACATTTGCCATTAAGCATAACAAGAGCAGACAAACACCTGCATAGGTGGGCATCTTTGATGCTTTATTGTCAGCAATTAATCACTTGATAATTGTATAAAATTAAAGAAGTTTCTGCTAGAGAGCTGCAAGGGAAATAAAAGAGAGAGAGCGAGAGAGAGAAAGAGAGAGAGAGAGAGAGAGTGTGTGTTGAAAGATTGTTAATAGTAGCATATATGTATATAGCTTATTAAAATGAATCCAGAATATAACTATGATGGAAGAAATATTAATATATATTATATTATATTATATTATATTATATTATATTATATTATATTATATTATATTATAT